GCTTTCAGAAAACCAAATAAATATGCACATGGACAGATCCAAATCATTGTAATTTATTTATTACTAGCTAGCAAGTTTGTTTTGAAAAGTGATATTAACAAACATACAAGTATCACTTTTCACAGCAGACTTACACAGTCCTGGCAAGTTTGGGGACAAATTAAGCCCTGGATGGAGGGTTGGGGGAGGCAGCAGGAAGCCCCGTGGCCAGAGCCCGAAGCCCTGTGGCTGGAGGATGGGGCCCAGGGACAGAGCCCAAAGCTGTGCAACCAGAGCCTGGGGCTGAAGCCCAAAGCCTGAGCCCCAATGCCCCTGGGAAGGTGGGAAACTTACCCGCTGCCTGCTCCTCCAGCGTTGTGCCCAGGTGTCTCCAGACAGGGGCAGGGGCAGGGGCAGGGCCCAAATCCTACTGGCGACCCCAGCAACCAAAACCAAGGCGGTGCATCCAGGAGCACCAGGGAGGGGGCAGGGCCGCTACTTTGCCTTTCCCCACCCCCAAATCAGAGCCCAGGAGGCTATGGCCTCAAGAAAAGCCCCTGATGGCCGCATGTGGCCATGGTGGCCGCAGTTGAGAAACACTGCTTTAGAGGCAGGATGAGACATGCACTTTGCCAGTGAGTGTCATAAGTATTTGCTAAAAGGAGGAGAGTGGTGCAGAACCACTGAGTTCTGTTCCAAGCTATGGGATTGTACTGTAGTGGTTATAGACCGGGGGTCTCAAACTCAAATGACTGCGAGGGCCACATGAGGACTAGTGCATTGGCCTGAGGGCCGCATCACTGACACGCCCCCTTGCTGCCCCTGGCCCTGCCCCCACTCCACCCCCTTCCATGAGGCCCCGCCCCTGCCCCGTCTCTTCCCCACTTCCTCTTCCTCCAAGCGGTTTTAATAATATATATACACTCAGTAAAGCCCCCCCACTGCACTGGGCTGCACCACCACTCCACCCCTGCTCTGCCTCTTCCAAGGGTGGCAGGTTTGTAGAAATTTTGGTGGTGCCCAAAACCTGCCCCCCCAACTCCGTCCCCACCTGCCTAAGGCTCTGGGAGTTTGGATGGGGGAGGGAGCCTGGGGTGCAGATTCTGGGATGGAGTTTGGGTGCTGGGTGCAGGCTCTGGGCTGGGGCAGGGGGTGGGGGGTGAAGGCTCTGGGATGGAGTTTGGTTGCTGGGTGCAGGCTCTGGGCTGGGGCAGGGGGTGGGGGGTGAAGGCTCTGGGATGGAGTTTTGGGATAGGAGGGGGTGCAGGGGTGAGGGCTGTGGGGTTGGAGATGAGGGGTTTGGGGCATTGGAGAGGATCAGGACTAGGGCAGGGGAAGGGCAGCCTGTCCTGACCCTAGTGGAGGGGGGCACTAGGACCCTGCAGCAGCAAGTGATGCCAGAAGCCAGCAGAGCAGAGCCTGAGCTGCAGGCTTGGGTGGTGAAGGGGCAGCAAGTGAGGCCGGGGGGTGTGACACTCGGGGGAGATGCGTGGGGGTGGCAGGCGGGGCCGGGGGAGAGACCCGGCCCCAAACATTGGGGAGCAGCGCACGGGGAGCTTATCTGACACATAAAATAACGCGGGGTGGGCTGCGGGGAGATGCGGCCCGCGGGCCTCGTGTTTGAGACCCCTGTTATAGACCCTTCTGCTGCTAGCCCCTCCAGCCTGTCTGTCCTTGTCCCACGCTCCCCCTGCCTCTTCTATCCCCTATTCCCCCCCCCCACACATTATCCCAATCTCTCTTCCTCACCAGGCCTACCTCCTTTTCCTCCTTGCTAACAAGTCTCTACTGAATTTGTGAAACCAGACTTTCAGAGGCTTATAAATTGGCTACATTCCGGCAGATTTTGACAGGGACTGCAAAAGGCACATCCCTGGCACCACTGCCAAATTTCAAAGCACAGAGGTGCTAGAGCATCTCAATTAAAATATTGTATGAATTTTTTTTAACATTTGCAAGCAACATATTTTCCCCTAAGCTCAGTCTGTGAAATGGCTGAGCAGTTTTGCTGACATTTTCATAGAATTTCATCCGGAGGCAGCCAATCGGGCATGCAAAATTACAGCCTGAAATGGTTGTTCAGCAAAGTTATAAGCGAAAACAGGGTCTTTCTTATGACGATAAGTGTCAGGCAATCCTAACTACAGGTGACTGAGTCCAATAGGTGCAGGATTCCCGTGTGTTTCTTTGCACTAGCAAACTGTAGGAGAATTAGCATTGGGAATATATGTCATATTGTCTAAAAGCTTGATCCTGCTAGATAATGGACATGTCCAGGAAGTCTAAACTCCTGTAGAAGTCATTGTAAGGCTCTGACTAACTCATAGGGTCACAGATTCCAAGCCCAGCATGGAACAACTGTGATCTTCTAGTTTGCCCTCTTGCATAACAGAGGTCAGAGAACTGCCCCCACAATAATTCCTAGAGCAGAACTTTTAGAAAAACATCCCGGCTTGATTTGAAAATTGGCAGTGATGGAGAATCCACCAGGACCTTGTGTAAGTTCTTCCAATGGTTAATTACCCTCACGGCTAAAAATATACAACCTATTTCCAGCCTAACTTCACCTTCCAGCCATGGGATCGTTCTCTGCGAGACTGAAAAGTAGTTGTTCCCCATATAGGTAGATACAGACTGTGATCAAGTCACCCTGTAACTATTCTGTTAAGCTAAATAGGTTGAGCTCCTTGAGTCTATCACTATAAGGAATGGTTTCTAATTTTTTCATTCTCCTGGCTCTTCTCTGAACCCTCTCCAATTTATCAGCATCCTTCCTGAATTGCAGGCACCAGAACTGGACACAGTATTCCAGCAGCGGTCACACTAGTGCCAAATCCAGAGGTAAAATAACCTCTCTACTTCTCAACATAGGCGGCAAGTTCCATATCTACCTGGTGCTCGGGCACCAGCAATATTCAGAGCTAGGGGCCCAGCTCCAGCAATACTTGGGGCCGGGTGTCTCCCCCACCCAGCCCTACCTGCAGCCCCCGCACGCCTTCCCCGAGTGTCCCCTGGCCCCGACTTGCTGCCCCCACCTGCCTTTCCCGGGCCCCTGGAGCAGTGTCCCTGTCTCTTCCGTGTGCTGCCGCAGGGTCCCAGTGCCCCCCATCTTCACTGCCAGGGCAGACTGACTCTGAGCCTGCCCTTCCCCCTCAGACCCTTCCCTTTTCCAATGGGACCCTCCAGCAGCACAGGGGACCCCCCTGCCTGCAGTCACTGCTCCTGCCCCATGCTGGGCAAGGAGGCAGCCCCATCCCTCACCCCCAGTGAGGCTACAGTCAGGGGCAACAGCAGGGGAGGAGGCGCACGCAACACCCCCTGGCACCCACCACGGGGGAGGCGAGGGAGATTCCTGGACCTGAGAGGGACCCTAGGAGCACATGCAGTGACAGTGGTGGGGGTGAGTGTGCTGCTGGGGGGGGGTGAGGGGGGGTTCCTCACCCAGAGCTTGCTGCTGCCGGCAGGGAAAGACCTGGGAGGAGTCCTCCTCTCTGGCCCCTGTCCCAGAGCAGCCTGCCTGCACCCCAAACTCATTCCCAGCTCTGCCTCACCCCAGAGCCCACACCCCCAGTCAGAGCTTTCACTCCCCCCATCGTATCCTCTGTCCTAGCCCTGAGCCCTCCAGCACCCCAAACACCTTATCCCCAGTCCCAGCCAGAGGCCTCACCCCCCACACTCCTATTCTCGCCCTGAGCCCCTCCCACACTCCAAACCCCCATTGCCAGCCTCAGATAGAGCCCTCACCCCTACACCCCTACTCTCACCCTGAACCCCTCCCACACTCCAAACCCCTCATCTGCAGCCACACCCCACAGCCCTCACCCCTGCACCCCATTCCTCTACACCCCTCCCATCCCAAAACTCCCTCCCAGAGCCTGCACCCTGCACCCCAATCCCCTGCCCCAGCCTAGGGCCTGTACCCCAGACCTCCTCCCTCACCCAAACTCCCCCCAGAGCCTTGGGCAGGTGGGGGCGGAGTTTGGGGAGGTGGGTTCTGGGCACCACCAAAATTTCTACAAACATGCCACTCCTGCTTCTCAAGATTCCCCTGTTTATGCATCCCAGGATTGCATTAGCACTTTTGGCCACAGCATGGCATTGGCAGCTCATGTTCAGCTGGTTAGCCATCAGTCTTTTTCAGAGTCACTGCTTCCCTGGAGAATCTCCCATCATGTAAGTATGGCCTACATTCTTTGTTCCTAGAGGTATACATTTATGTTTAGCCATATTAAAATGCATATTGTTTGCTTGCACCCAAGTGATCCAGATCGTGCGGTATCAGTGACATATCCTCTTCATAATTTACCATACTCCCAATTTTTGTGTCACCTGCAAATGTTATCAGTGATGACTGTTTTCTTCCAGGTCATTGATAAAAATGTAAACTAACCTAGGGCTATGAATCAACCCCTGCAGGATCCAACTAGAAACACATCTGTTCAATAATGATTCCCTGTTTTCAATTACATTGTGAGATCTATCAGTTAGCCAGCTTTTAATCCACTTAATGTGTGCCATCTTAATTTTATATCTTTCTAGTTTTTTAATTAAAATATCATGTGTTAAATGTCTTACAGAAATCTAAGTATATTCCATCAACATGCTTTCCTTTATCAAAGAAACTAGTAATCTCATCAAAAACAGATATCAAGTTAGTTTGACAGGATCTGTTTTCCATAAATTCATGCTGATTGGCATTAATTACATTACCCTCCTTTAATTCTTTGTCAGATGAGTCTCGTATCAGCTGCTCCATTATCTTGCCCAGGATCCATGTCTCTTGAGTGAGTGCCACCCATCTCTTTCACTTGAACAGTTCCTAATTTCAGGAGAGGATCAAGAATAAGGAAAATATATTTACTGTATCTAGATTTCAGAGAAATTTAGTCATTAAGATTTGAATCTAATTTATAGCATGGGAGATGCTGTCATGTAACCTAATCAACCAGACCTGTTTTCCCCCCTTCTTCTCCCCAGCCACATATACACAGCCATAAAGAAAACACAACAAGACACACCAGTTTGCATGCTTCCATCCATATTTGTGCTGGAGCATGAATTTATTATCAGGAATATATTACACTCATCTGTACATCATAACAGAAATAATACAAACTTTTCCTGTAATTCATTAACCACGTATTAAATCAGACTACAGAACTCCTACTGCATGGGAAAAACTTTACAGAAGGATCCTCAGTGTGTCCATAGGACACAAATGCAATCAGTGCAGAGACATAAAATACCTGATTTTGTTTTTGTTTGTTTGTTTTCTCACCAAAAAATGAACTTAACCATTAGGTACCTGCTGATTTATCATAAGCAAATTATTTCAGTGAAATGCAGGAACTTATCTACTGATTTGATTTATGCAAATTTCTTAGTTGCAAGAATTCAAACACTGCTCATGTCCCACAGACAGATGTGAAGAAAAAAGAGACAAGAAAGAGTTTGTTGCTCTCTGACTCTTTTTCATCACTTGCCTCTCAGGGCTGGTGTACACTAAAGCTGTCAGTCGATCTAAGTTACACGACTGCAGTTAAGTAACTGAAGTTGATGGAACTTAGGTCGACTGACAGCAGTGTCTACACCACACTGTGTCAATGGGAGATGCTCTCCCACTGATTTACCTTCTGCCTCTTGGGGAGGTGGAGTACAGATATCAATGGGAGAACATTTTGCCATCGACTTAGCTTGTCTTCACCAGACCCACTAAATCAACACCACTGCATCGCTCGCAGCAATGCTGATTTAGCCAGAAGTATAGACAAGCCATAAGTGAGGTTGCCCACCAGCTGGCTATGGTCTCAAGGAGGCCCTGCTTCACATGCTCATTCTTTCTGAGGAAGACACTTGTTGGGTGGGAAGAATTTGAAGAGGGTTGGGGTGGATGGGCTGTTTAAAAACTCTCTCCAGGGACCATCCATGGGGCGGAGGCCATGGCTTAATTTGTATTTGTACAGCAACTACAATGGAGCCTTCAGTCTGATAGGGTCCTTTGGGTGCTGCTGCAGTAGAGATAATAAATACGCTTAAGGCCACGCCCCCAAATAAGCTTGCAGTTGTATTTTTATAGAGCAATTGTGACAATGTTGTTGTTTTTTTTTATAGAGCAATGGTCCCCGGAGTAATTCCTCCCTATGCATATGTCACCTACATCCTTTTGCTATCTAAAAGGTAATAGCAATAATCAAGTATCATTGACCTGCCTGGCTGAATCATCTCTGTAAGGGAAAGGGAGTGGAAGAATAATCACATAAAGTGTGCTACCTACAGGCCCTGTGCCACCAATGTTGCACCCCCCACCCCCGCCCTACCCATCGCTGAGCCCAACACTGATCATTTCACCTGCTCAGTACTTACAAACTAAATGAAAACTAAAGTAGAATGCTATTCATAAACCAGTCATGAATTTGGTGCTAAAGTGATGTGCCATGACTGGGAGCAATCCGACTAGTCTTGCCAACTTCCTCTTGCTATGTCCTACAAATGGACTGAACCAAAACCTGGCTTCTGAGCCCCCCTCACCAACATGAGGACAGAATCTCATTTCAGATGCTAGCCCTGTGGCTTAGTCATATTAATGAAAGCGGGACCTAGTGAACTATAGAAGTGAAGGTAATTCTGCTTTAGCTACTGGACTGTTTGAGGTTGCAGTGGAGGTGGAGGAAAAGAGGGATTTATTTTATCCTTCCATAGTTAAAGGCTTTTCCATTATAAAATGTGGTTTTCAGAGGTTTACAGTACAGCCATAATTATGTGCATTGAATTAAAAACTTAGGCCAAAATGTTCAAACCTGGATGCCAAAAGTTCGTAAAACCCACATTTAAGCATCTAAGTTAAACTAGCCTGATTAGCAGAATTGCCGAGCATCCCCAAAGCCCACTGAAGTTCAGGTGTGTATTTTGGTTCCTTTATTGTAAAATTGTTGTTTCACTTTCTATTGGACGGCTTCCAATATAAAAATAAAATCACTTTTAGTAGCTAAATAGCTGTCTTTATGGATAGTTGCTGTGGAGGAAAAGTATACACTCTGTAGCCCTTTGAGAGATGCAGAAACTAATGATTAGTGGGTACAGGGCTGGCTAAATCAAAGAATGGTTTGACAGCTTTTACTTTGTATTCTCACAGTATGGGTTAATGAGGAGAGCAAGCGGAGGAATCGATAGAGTTCCTCCATAATTAAGTCTCAGGAGCACTTGCCTTGTAAAAGATAGTCCCTCTCCCCACAATCCTTATTCAGCCCTCACTAGCCAGTAGGGTTTATTTGTAAGTGGAACATTTACTGTTCAGGTATTGAGGCACAATGCATGAACAGCCCCATACTACCCAACGTTAAGAGCATGCGCCGACAAGGTGAGAACTCCAGCTACAATCACAATGCTTTGCTAGCCTGCTGCTGTTTTGGTTTAATTTAATGACATCTGTTTTGAAAGTGAATTCCCACATTTTGTTACTGTCTAGGCCATATTATGCACCCTAGTTATGTGCTTGAAAATCCTGCTATTTACATTGGCTGCAAAATATAGATAAATTCACCCAATAAACTGTAATCCTCCCCAAGTGACTTCGCAGGCCTGCACTCACAGCATCAGGAAATGCTGATGTAACAGAGTGAAATTCATCTCTCCTGAAAAAAGCCTGTGTTGTGGAGTTAGCAGCGATGCATTTTACCAACCCATAGAATAGATAGTGATGAATTATCAAAATCCTGCTGCTTCTGCTTTTTAAATCCTATCCAGATGCCAGTACATTTCCTGTCATTTCAGCCAACACACTAACGATGGCAGATGAAAGATCAGCCAAGTCAGCCACAAATGTGCTGGTGCCTGAAGTTCAGCCAGTAAACAAATCCAGGTCCCGAAAACAAAATCTTTTCCCCAACCTACAGACCTGGGTACTTGCTTCCTAGTGCACCTATGATTTTCACTGAAATTTTAGTGGGAATTCTGGTGCGCAAGGAAAAAGGTTTGGCTCTTACTGCATTCACTTCAATGCCATTCTTGCACCAGACAGTTACATCTCCCTTACCAACCCTTCATGCCAGCAGATGTTAGCGTTTGTAAGTGGAAGTGTGGGCAGAGAAAGCAGAGGGTGCTAGGTCAGGAAACAAGATTATATGACAGAGTGGCAGTGTTCTCCACTGCCATTTAAGAAAGCTTGGTTTATGGATAATACTGGAGGGAGATATGCTTACTACTGGTCAGGGAAAGGCTCACTGGTGGTATACTGCTGCTGAGGGCTGGTCTACACTACACAATTAAGTCAACATAAGGCAGCTTATGTCAACCTAATAATGTCAGTGTCTACACTACAGCCGTCCTCCCACTGATGTAAGTGCCCTACTACACCGACATAATAACTCCACCCCCAGCTAGAGTCCAGCTCTCCCCGCTCCGCTGGGTGGCTGGACCCCGCTCCTGACTGAGAGCCGGGGCCAGAAGCTGGGTGGGGTGGGGGGCTTCAGACCCTGCTCCCAGCCAGCAGCCAGGGCCAGAAGCCCCAGCGGGCCCCCTCGCTGACCACTCTCTGCCAGGAGTTAGGCAGCCTTGTCAATTTCATAGCTGAGGTGTGAAATTGACAAGGATGCCTAGCTCTGGCAGGGAGCAAGCCGGGAGAGGGGAAGCCCCAGGCAGCTCCCCCCTCTCCCGCAGGGAACCGGATGAGTGGGGAAGAGAAGCCCCGGGCAGCCACCTGTAGTCACATGGATGGAAGCATCAGCATCCAGTATCAAACACCATCAGGAAGTGACTATTGTAAGACAGGGAGAATGGAAATGATGTTGGGATCGCTGGCAGCCCAGTCTACCCACCACTAAAGCCCCAACTCCCAATTCATTGCTAGGAGCATCCATTGCATGTGCGCTTAGCTGACAAAAGGATGAGTAAAGCACCGTAAACTTCTCAGAGAAAAGATGAAGGAAAACAGACTGGCTCAGCCAGCTCAGATCGGGACAGTATAACGTTCTGGTGAGTCGCCCATGGGATAATTTAGATTAACGTCATGGTAACAACTCGTACTGTAATAGAACACATTGCCCCAGCCTGGAACATAACAATGAAGTAGGTATTGCAGAGTACCTGTGCATTTAGCAAGTGCAGTATGAAAGTGACCAAAATGATAGCGATAGTGGTTTTTCTTCTTCAACAACTCTCCTACTTTCAGGGTGTACTTGCTGAACACATACAAGCTAGTAATGTATTTCGACAGTGTTAGTCAAATATGGCCTGGTCTAGTCAAATAAGATGTTCAATGTACTCAGTATCATAATATCATGCAAAACTGCTACAAAAATAAATTTCTCTAACAAAAAAATTAACCTAATTTTTACATCTTGGGATGGGCCAAAGCCACTTAGATCGAAGCTGGCTGTACTTAAGCTGCAGCCTGAGCATTCTGAAGACATCCCAGGAAAGCTGAAGCATATTTCAAGTGCAAACAACGCGCATGTTTGCTGGAGTAAATGCCTTCCTGCCTGCTTCCATGCGAGTCATTCTCTGTATACACACCTTGTCACAACAGCTCTTTCCCACTGCTTCATGACCCTGGAATATTTTCTGTCGGTATTTACATCCTGGCTGTAACTTGGTCAGGTCCTGGAGCACGCAGTGCGCTCTGTGAATGGGCAGGAAAATGGGCAGGGTCTTTGCCACAAATGGAAAATAAAAGCATCACATCATTTAAAAAAAAAACATTTTGCTGTCGTGTGGGTGATTCACACACCTAACCTGCCGCTGCGCTACATCAAACGCTTTCACAGTCTAATCCAAACAAATCTGATGCAAATGCTGGAACCCACATTTAGAGAACATCAAAGACAACAGGGCCTCGCCTGGCTTTGTGCAGTTCCCTACCTGTACCCAGGATCCAGATGAAATACTGTTAACCCCTTCTCATTCTAACTGATGTTTGAGGTGCTGTGCCCCTGGGAAACCAGCATGCTCACTCAGTATGGCGTGACAGTCCATCTGGTCTAGACAGGCACGGCACGGAAAGTTGCCACTGCAACACATGCATGGTTAACAGGTGCAGCAAAGGGGGTTAATATAACAGGGAAACCTAAGAGTATTTGCATTTTGCCTGGAAGGCGGAGGTTTAAGGTAGTTTGGCCTCAAAATATATGGGTATATATGTTGAGGGATCAAATTCTGGCCTCAGTTGGATCCATGTGGCCCCCACAGATCTTCCCTGGGGTTCTCCTGGCCATTAACAAGGGCAAACATTAGTCTAGTATGTGCAGGATCCCCTGTACCCTGAGGCAAACTGGATCTAAATTCTTAGAATATCCGACTAGGGGGTTAATGCTTTTGGCCAAATGTCAAGGTCACAGCAAATATTTTTTTTCGTCTTTCTGGGGCTTGAAATAAAATAACACGGGACTGGATTTGTTATAGATTCTGAGTGCTTCCAAAAGTGTTCAGTTAAAAATAAAAAGGCTAACTAGGATTTGAGAGAGTAAAATGGAGTCACTCTATCAAATAAATTGTATGGAACATGCTAAAGCCCTCCGGGTTTTGGTCTCTATCCTACATCCATTCACAATATTGATGCTAATAATAATTGTAATTTGGAGACTGGAATGAGTGACCTTATCTGGCATTGAGTATGAAGGTGATTGTTTTGAAGGCAGTACTATTTCAGAATCTCAATGTCGCTGGTGTTCACGTTATACAGTGTACCACTTGGTGGTAGTTTGGAAGGCGCTTCTATTTCTAAGTAACTTTCTTCTATTTTGGGTAGAAATATTCCTGGGAGGCTTGACAGAAATGCATTTCATTTAGCTATAAGTCTTAGGCACAAGTTACAAAACTGCTGACCATCATGAAAATATATCAGCACTTAGTAGAGTATCCAATAATATAAAAAATGCAATTCAGAACATCTTCAACTCCATATATGTTGTGTGTGTCAATATATACACCTATATAGGTACAATACATACATATATATATAAACACACATACATATATAGATATTCAAAACGTGAACTGTTTGTAACTAACCTGAACCACTGCAGCAAAGGTTCATTTTGATGAACCATTAGTAGTAGTATTTTCTTTCTTTCGGCTCTAACCATGGCAAAATGTTTACACATCAGACTACAATGGTTATACTACTCTAAGACATCAGTGTGCCAGTACCGGGAGCGTCTATACTGGAATGATAATAGTACACTGCCTAGCTTACACTTATGCAGCTACAGAGCATGCTTGCAGTAACCAACCCTAGGTGTCTATGGTTGTTAATACTTTCTTGGATGATCACATTCAGCGGGTTGGAAAAATGTGTAAAAGCCCAGTTAACATCTGCAGCCGCGTGGAGCGGTCATCTTGGCACCGTGCTGACTTTTGCGGGAGTAGGAGGCCCCGATGAACAGCGATAAATAGGTGTAGGAGACGTAGGAGACAGTTTAACGGGGCTCATGGGCTCCGCTGTCTGGAGCTTCCAAAGCAGCTCTTCATTAGTCCTGCTTAACCTCTTCTTTTCCTTGGTTTCTTTCTCCACGTATTCTTGAAGATTAGCATTTTCCTCAGATAACTGCCTGCAGAGGGAAATAATGAACCCGTTAACATTTCACACGGCTAAACACTGCTGGATTGTCATTAAAGCACATATGACAGCTGCTGAGGCCAGTACCCCACACAGCTGTTAAAGTCACCCCCTGTGACAGCTTCACACCAGAGCCAGGCTGGCATAGCAATGGTTTGCCTCCTGATGAAGCCAAGCAGCATAGTTCAGGTAATACACCTGCAGTTCCCGGCACAATGATTCCATCACATGCTGCTGAGTCAGATCACAGTGACCTAACGCAACCTGACAACTTGAAAGAAAATTCCCGGCACTTTGTCTTCTAGATACAGTCAGTTACAACAGCATGTATACTGCATGTGAGCATGAGGGCAAACACTCGTGAGTTTGTTATTAAGCAATTCAGTTAGAATTGTGTACTTTTCCCCATATGACACAACAAATAATACATTTTAAAGCAATCACAGAAACAGGGACAGGACTGGATGGCTCAGGGGTACGTAATGGGACATGGAGCCTTTCAAGGCTTTGTCCCTGGGGTTTGAATTAGGTCTAGGTGGGGAGTGACTCAAAGTTGTTGCCATCCGATGGGTGTTTGGAGGACCACATGAAACTGCGGGTAAAATTAGTCTGATTCCTAGTGGACAGGTATCCATAGTGCAAAACAAACCACTCCCCCCAATTATTATTGGCTCTTCTTGGTATCCTCGATGGCAATCGCAGCGTATGCAGCCAGGATGAAAAGATCATGAAGACTAAACTGATGCTCCCTTCAGGTCAGGCTTAAAGCATGTTGCTGGGGTACTGTGTACTGGGATTTAACATGCCGAACCTCTTCTGTGAATAAATTGGACATTTTCAGTCTCTAGGGTGGTCAAGCTAATACTGATCATGAGCACAATGGGCCACTTTGCTCAATGTCATGGATGTCGGGTATTGCAGGCCAGGGGAGGCTGAGCCTCCCCAAACAGCCAGGCATGGCCCTGTCCATGATCTGCCCCGAGGTCCTTCCTGCTTCCCTCTCTCCCTCCATGGCCAGGGTTGGGGCTGGGGCTAGGGAGGGCCAGCCTGCAGCCGGGGATTTGGGGCGCTGGGGCCAGTGCTCGGGCCGCCCGGTGCTGGGGATGACCATCTGGCGCTCCAGGGCTAGGGGTGCTTGGGCTGCCCCACCAGGCACTCTGGGGCTGGGGGTGCTGGGGCCGCCCATTGGGCACTCTGGGGCTGGGGGCGCTGGGGCCACGCCACCTGGCGATGGGGATGCTGGGGCCTCACTGCCCAGCACTGGGGGCACTGAGGCTGCGCCGACCGGCACTCTGGGGCTAGGGGTGCTTGGGCGGTCGAGAACTGGGGGAGGGCAGCCGGGGCCATGCTGGGGGTCTCGGGGTTCTGGTGGGGGCAGGGCAGGACCTGGAGCTAGCCTCCCCAAACAGGTGGTTCATGTGCTGCCCATGCTCTATTCAGTTACACTATTAATTATTTTGGCTTCATGTTTACAAAATGTATTAAATATAAAACTGAACGTTTTTGGAGAGATTTCTACCTAACTCTTTTTTAACTTTTCCATGTATGCTCTGAGCTGCAAGAGGAGGGTGTTTCTAAGGAGACATATTGAACTACCCATGAATTGCTTTTATACTGATGCCCATCACTGTAGTATTTGAGCACCTGCCATGTAAAATCCATAACAATAGCGAAGTTCTTAGGGGACTTCATGGAGTCTCTGACACGTCTCCTTTTTCAGGGTCAGCACTTTGCTTGGGGATGGGGTTTTGATTTTTCTTAAAAGATTGTGTTACTTTTCTCTTTCCCTCCCCACGTAGCAATGTGGGCCATAAAGCTTTTATGCAAGCCCAGATAGGCCACCAACCAACCAGTATGTGCCTGCCTGTTTTCTGAGAACCGTTTAGCAGGATGCTCATTGAGCACGTTTAGGGAGTAACCCTACAGCTCTTACTCTCATGAATGATTCTCAAAGCCAGTGAAGGTAATGGGACTGCCCTCATGAGCAGAAAGATGCATGCAGCAGCTGGAGAATCAGGCCCTCAGAACATATTAATCTCTTTTACATGTAATATTGCTTGCCAGCTATACAGGGTGATATCCTGTCTTAGAGTCAACTTGGTAGTCTGTCAGCCGACATACTCTCTTCCGTGACACTAATAAACACTGCAGCTGGCAATGGGGAGGAGGGCTGTGAGTTATATGCACAACCTACAGGTAATTTAGAGAGACATTTGAGTAGGAAAGTGCCTTCATAGTCAAGCACCCGTGAATAGGCTGTGCAGTACAGACATGTCCTCAGAAGACAGCCTGCTTTAGCATGCAGATAGGGAAAAGAGCCCCCGCTTGTTACACTGCTTGTTGTAATCTCCCACATGCTGTGTCAGGATATCGCAGTTTATGCTGTGTCGTCTGATGTCATGTAACCAGACACAAGGAGAAACAAGCTTCACATTGCATTGGAGACTGAGGCGGCTTTTCCCTCCTAGGTAGAACACAGTACTCCTGCTGCCTGTGTGCTGGCACACACGCCAGCAACCCTGACACGTGCGTGGTCACATTATGCCAGCCTTGCCTGTGTAATTTTATTCACAGAATCATAGATTCCAACGCCAGGAGGGTCCACTGTGATCATCAAGTCTGACCTCCTACATGGCACAGGCCATAGAACCTCCCCAAAATAATTCCCAGAGCAGATCTTTTAGAAAACTATCCAATCTTGATTTAAAAATTGCCAATGATGAAGAATCCACTAGGACCCTTGGTAAATTGCTCCAATGGTTAATTACTCTCACTGTTAACAATTTACACTTTATTTCCAGTCTGAAGAGCTCATCATTAAATATTTGTTCCCCATGTAGATATTTATAGACTGTAATCAAGTCATCCTTTAATCTTCCCTTTGTTAGGCTAAATAGACTGATGAGCTCCTTGAGCTATCACTATAAGGAATGGTTTCTAATCCTTTAATCATTCTCATGGATCTTCTCTGAACCTTCTCCAATTTATCACCTTCCTTCTTGAACTGTGTGCACCAGAACTGGACACAGAATTCCAGCAGCAGTCGCACCAGTGCCAAATACAGCAGTAAAATAACCTCTCTAGTCCTACTTGGGATTCCCCTGTTTATGCATCCCAAGATTGCCTTAGCTCTTTTGGCCACGGCATCACACTGGGAGCTCATGTTGAGTTGATTATCCACCACAACCCAGAAATCCTTTTCGGAGTCACTGCTTTCCAGGACAAAGTCCCCCATTGTGTAAGTATAGCCTACATTCATTGTTCCTAGCTGTATACATTTGGAGTTAGCCGTATTAAAATGCATACTGTGTGCTTGCACCCAGCTTACTGAGTGAGCCAGATTGTTCTGAATCAGTGACCTGTCCTCTTCATTATTTACCACTTCCCCAATTTTTGTGTCATCCGCAAACTTTTTCAGTGCTGATTTGAGGTTGATGGCGTATGAGCAGATGCAAAGTGATTGCACATTAATGATACACACGCTGCCTATGAAGACATATGCCCCAACCAGTTCTTTTCCATCTTTCAGGTAGGATTTGTCATGGGTGCTATGGAAAAGAGACCTGTTGTTATTCTTGTAGCATCTAGAGACCCCAACCGAGATCAGACTCCATTGTACTAGTCACTGTATCAGCAAAGGTAAGATACACTCCCCTGAAGAGCTCACAGTCTAGAGAGCCAGGACAGACACAGAGTGGGGGAAGGAAGGATTACTATTCCCATTCTATAGATGGGAATCAGAGGCATAGAGAGGTTAAGTGATTTATCCAATACCACACAGGAATCTATGGCAGAGCTGGGAACTGAACGTGGATCTCCAGCAATTTAACCACAAAGCCATTCTTCCTCCTTGGGAGCCCAGCCCTCTCCTCTGATTGCTAAATCCCCTAGAGTTCTCGAGAAGGAGGAGGAGGATGTAGAAAGGGTTAGAATCAAATATTATCTCCTCACTGTCTCCACCTATTTTAACACTATCTACTGTACGCTGCAGAAAAGTACCTAGGGGTTACAGTGGACGAGAAGCTGGATATGAGTCAACAGTGTGCCCTTGTTGCCAAGAAGGCTAATGGCATTTTGGGCTGTATAAGTAGGAGCATTGCCAGCAGATCGAGAGACGTGATCATTCCCCTCTATTCGACATTGGTGAGGCCTCATCTTAAGTACTGTGTCCAGTTTTGGGCCCCACACTACAAGAAGGATGTGGAAAAATTGGAAAGAGTCCAGCAGAGGGCAACAAAAATGATTAGGGGGCTGGAGCACATGACTTATGAGGAGAGGCTGAAGGAACTGGGATTGTTTAGTCTGCAAAAGAGAAGAATGAGGGGGGATTTGATAGCTACTTTCAACTACCTT